TTTTTTGTACATTATTATAACCACAGCTGTAAAAATATCAAAGTAATTATGATTCTATTTGGTGGACAACAGATTACTGGACACCAAGGTCGGGACTAAGTCAATCAACTTTCACAACGTTAAATTCACTTTGTATTCCTACATTTTCTCTGATTATTATATACCAACGATACCAAATGTCCGTCCTCCCTATTGTCATAAATATCTCTCAATTTTCCACCGAGTTACCGAGAGTGCGACAATGCGCGTGCGCATTACCTACATTACAGTAACGCGCACGGCTAGTTGACGCGCATGTTCCCACATTCGACACACGCACTTATCTCTCATTGTTATGTTTTACCAGATAATATGTAGGATAACGTGGAAGTTTCGTCTCAACATTGTTTCAGCGGAAACTTGAGTTTTTGTTAACTAGACGATTATTATTATTACAAGCTTTAAGTTCTGAGAGATGTCCTGATAATTTCACATTTTTAACTTTCCATTGAATTACATAGTTACTGAGTTAAAAACATGTACTGAGGTCTAAGTATGTACATTACCAGTACGATATCATAACCAGTATCTAAACAAACCAATGGCTAATAAATCAAAGTGCCCCTGCCAACCAGACCCTGTGCACCGAGCTGTAAACATCAAAGCGACCATCATTTTCCCATAGTCAGTCAAAGGATCTTAAAATATATTACAAAAAGAGTTTCCATACAAAAAGTGTTGATTGTGCGGAGTATCTGACATTGTGGTACCCTTTGATGTGGCGTCAGCGCTCGACTGTGACGGACGTTCGCGGAACGAACAAAAACTGCACACACGTGCTCTGCCTGCGCCTGCGCAGCCCGCCGGGACAGACGGTCGTGTTTCATGCAAAGATGGATGAGGATAATCGTGGAATACTATAAGATCATTTGGGGAATTAGGGAAAAATTCATGAGGACAATTGTGTATAAGAAGAAGTGAATTCCTAAGTGACATTCAAATGAAGAAATTTTTATTTCATTGTTGTTAACCTTACAAATCAGAAGCTACTCAAATTTTATACCACTGTTCATTTTGTAAGATGTCAAAGAGCAACCGGCTCATAAATTAGTTCAGAGAGTGAACAATAGATCATAATCGATGTCCATTGTTTGACAAGGTGACAAGTGTCCTCAAGATGTGACGATGCGTGTGCGCCGCCTTGTATGTCAGCCAGAGACGAGTGACGTAGCATGTCGCGTAAATATCTAGCGCGCATCTTGTCACCACTTGTGATTGGCCAGAAAATCTCTTGTTTGGTCACTTTGGTATTTTCTACTCCAAACCTATAAAGCTGTACATGACATACAAATTCTTGGTAACGTCGATAACTTTTAGGATACCTTTCCTATGTTTACAAGTGAATATGTATCGAGTATACACAGATTACACACTAGATTGAAAACTGAAAGTTTCAGCAATGTAACGTACACTGGCGAAATGTTTGTTGCGTCGGTGTCATTGCCACGGTTGGCGTCGTGTCCTATCGAGGCAATGCTGAGCAAGTTTGTAACAATGACAAGTGCGGTGCATGTGTCGAGGCGGAACCGGCCCCGCCCCCGCTTTGATGTGCCGCCGCCATTGGCCACACTGTAACATGTGACCATGTGACCAACTCGTCACGGATCGAGGACCGCTCTAGTGATGAGACCCGCGCCGACACTCGATGACATAAGTGCCACCTTTGACTTTTGACAATTGTTTAATTTATTGTTCATCATCTTGCTACTTTTTATAAACAAGTATTGTCTATTTGATTTACTATTAATAATGGGATTCTAAATTGATTGATACTGAAATTTTCAAGATCGATATAGATATAGATAGTTGTAGCTTGTGATACATTCATTTACATTAGCTGGTAAATGCCTAAATATGAGTTGTTATTACCATCTTTATAATTCAGTCAGGATATAAATCCTAAATTAGTATGCAACTGTCACATTCCGTAGCAGCAATGTGCCAAATGTCATGATTTGTGACATTTTATTCAATAAATAAAATGTATACCTACCTACGTCATTTCAAGCATGGAAAGTTCAGTAAAATATCCTCTTTATTGCGTGTGCGCACACGAATGTCATAATAATATTACATCTTTATTTTTAGTTTAAATTTCCGTATTTCAAATTTAACCATGAAATATGGATTTTGTTTTCTCTGAAAATAATAACAACTCTATCTCCTACGAGTGTCAATGTATTTACTTATAGTAGATAATTAATGAAACTAGAGTCGTTAATGCTGCCAAATACATTGTCTCCTAGACCGTCATGAATGTCGCGGTGATAATTATGCATATCTGTAAGTTCATCGACTTCACGACCCTCAAATAGCAATCATTCCTGTTCAGCAATCTGCATAAAAATGTTCTTAGGCCATGGGTAGGATAGATAAACAGTGTTATAATAAGACTTAATTCTCCTTAAATAGATATTCATTTTAATAAAATTCATAAAAGATGATGGTTAAGATGGTTAATTTCAAGACTTCAGTGACATAGAAAATCTTGGACTGGAACTGTAGTGTAGAATTTTCCTGGAGTTTCGTAAAAACTTAAGTAAGAGCTCATTCCTGTCACATAATTGTAATTGCATCGCCTCTATAATAAGTACAGTCGTATAAATAAACTAGTGACACGGTACTTTGTCAGCGGTGGCTCCGAGTGGCGCAACAAGACAACGAGTGGAGCACATTAGTCAAGCATTTTGTTCACTACTCCGCTAATTTGTACCCCGACGAGCGAGGAGTGAGCGCTGTTTATTTGTTCGACTGTACTTTGTCACCGGAGTGGGTTTAGTGAATAATGCGACTGTTTCGTGGTCATTTTTTGGTGTATTTGGACGTTAAGGCACACGTATTGTTCGTTTTCTTTAAATTGCTGAACAGTTAAATTGCTTGCGCGGATTTTATTCGACATTTTCCAGAAACACTTGAGAAAAGAAACTCTATTACATGGCTCGTCCGTACAAAACTATACTTAGGTAATAAAGCCATTAGATGTACATACATGATATTTAAATAAATTGTTGAAGGTCTGAGGATTGGACAAAAACAAAGTTGATCGTCAACGTCATCTTTATTTCGTCTGAAATAGATTTCATTCTCTAGAATGAAACTATTAAAACACACTTTTACAAATGAATTAATAAATTCAATCGTGCGGACAAACAACATAACATAATTAAAGTCGTGTAATTAATAGAGGAAGGTAGAGCCAATAACAAACAAGCTGCAATTAATAACCATTCCTCAACGTCACCGCCATAAATCACCGATATCACAGAGATCGCCACTGCGGTGCTTGTAACCCTCTCCCCGCCGCTGCTATGATAAATGTTTCCAAACGATCGTGAAAACTGAGTGAGAATTATCTCGAACAGTTTAGGGTTACAGTTATTTGTTGTCGAGTGTCGCGGTGTCTCGGTGTCACCGCGAGACGACGGCTCGTGTCTCTCACACTGACAGCCGTCACACTGACGTGCCTTGACGTTTATTGGACGGATGCAACAGGAGATGCGCGTGCGCATAACTGTTCAGATTTAAATAGTTTTAATATGTTTAAGTGTAATATGATACATTTGTATCTTCTACTACTAACAGAACGGTTACTAGTTATTTTGAATATGTCTCACGGGGTAAAACAATTATCTAATAAATAGAAGAAAAATATGATGGCGTCTTAAAAATTCTAAGTATGTATTTGATCTATTATTATGGTAAATAAACGTGCACAAATTAGCAACTCACTATAATATAGAACCGGCTCAAAATATAACAAGCTACAGTTTTACGACATTATGCGCCTGCGCAGGTGTCGAGTGTCGGCACAAAACGACGAGTGTCGGCGGTGGCGACATCAAAGTTGGTTTCGGGTAACAGTGGACCCGATAGCTTTGACTTAATTATGAACTAGACGGCGGCGGAGGGTTATTCTGCTCAACCTAGAGTTTGTGTTACACCAATAATTAGCATTCTTCATTGTTACGTGTGACTTAAAAATCAGTGCTGGGTGACTTGTATGTCTGGCTTACACTGAGTGGGTGACCCTTTTAGCATAGGCATGATGTTAGCGTCTCTTTTCTAATTCTTCTGTTTCAATTTTTCAACTCTTATATTTTTATTACTTCCACTGTCACATCTTGATTGTCTTTTTTTATATTTTATTTATGCTGCATCGCCTGGTGCTAAATAAATGTTTTTTCTTTCTTTCTTTCTGTCTTTCTTACTCAATACAGTTTAATGACGGCACGGTTGGCGGGGTGGCTGGACAACCGGCGGCCGCGCAACGAGCCACTCTTTGTGTGATCCACAAATTGTTGTTTCGGGTCTGGGTGTCATTTGTATGTAAACATGTATGGTTTATAAATGCACCCACTACATAGGAGATAATCCTAGGGTGTACGTGGCCTACGTTTTGAAACATTATTAAAAAAAAATCTCTGACATCTTTATTCTTTCGCGAACAATATCAAAGTTTTCAACCCGTTGAAAATTGTTGAAAATCATCCCCTAAATTTGTTCATTCAAAAGTAGTCTCTAAACATTAGAAATAAGGTCTAAATTGTAGTTAGTGGAGAGTGGTCACCGGTGACCGCTTGAAGATATACGGGTAAACTTTGCACATACTCATTGTTTCATTAATAAAGTTTTCGATTTGTTAGTTACACATTCTATTATTAAGTTCTATGTGAATTGTTTTTATAATAACTATCGTGAGACATACTAAATTAACTAAAATCGCGGGTTACTCACGTGAATATACTGAGAAAAGCTCTACTAGTTTCGAACCACAGAGGGGTTCTTCCTAATGAGCAGCGTGCGCGGTGGCGTTAATCTATATGTGAATTGACAATCTTCCATTACAATTTTCTCTCTCTAAATTATAATCGTTCATCATTTTACCTCGTCCCACGTTTATTTACCGTTAGTTTCTAAGTAGTCCACCAACAATTTCTAACATCGCATCTTTTGTCCACCAGACCCGAGTGCGGCGGGTATGGGCAACCCTGGCATGGCAGGCACAGGCACCCAGCAGTACGGAGAGGTGAACCAGCTCGGAGGAGTCTTCGTCAATGGAAGACCACTACCCAACGCGGTACGACTGAGGATAGTCGAACTGGCACAACTTGGAATCAGGTAAGGAGGGACAATGATTTTTATGGGTTTTTTTATAGGATAAGCCGGGAAACGAGTAGAGGGATCACCTGATGGTAAGCAATCGGCGTCGGCCATGGACACCCGAAACACTAGAGATGTTACAAGTGCGTTACCGGCCTTTTGGAGATTAGGAATTTGAGGATTGTTGGGGATTCGGGGACTGGGGAGATTGGGGGTAATTGGGTAATTAAATTGGGCCTCCGGTAACATCACTCACACGAAAAAAAAAACACAAGCGTTATTTCATCCCGGTTTTCTGCTTGGCCGTAGTATCTCTCCAGGCGAACGTCCCATTTGTGCCGAAGCATGGTTCTTCCACACTATTACTTGATTCAGCGTTAACAACGATTGCACTATAACAATTGATTTTGTTTCGTAAAATATTATGAACGGAGAGACGCTCGGCAATCTCAAATTTAGTTTAATAAGATACACACTTACTAATCATCTATGATTACATATTAATACTCATTGCATTAAATTATTTATTTCAATCGCCTGTTACAAGTTTTTTATCTTTTGCTTATTTTAATATCCGATAATATTTATCATCATAGAAACAGCTGTTTACAAATATTGTCATTACTTAAAGAGAAGCAGAAACTACTTAGTACACATTGTCAGTTAAATGTATGCAGAATATACCAGTTTAAAAGTTCATCACTGACTTAACTAAAGACAAGGGATGAGATACAGTCACCTGACGTTTATCAACCGAATAGAGATAATTTACGTGTGAATTTGTTTAGAAAGTATTTTTACTATCTCATCAATTGATGCTGATGAGGTGGCAAATGATTATTATGATTTTCGGCTTCCTCACGTAACTGTTTGACGGGGAACTCGATTAGCTTCTAGCCCTTTTGAGGATCATGTTCATGAGCAGCATGAGACACACACGACGCGGCGACTGTCGCGTTGCTTCTCTTTAGAATGGCTAGACGTTAGTCGAGTTCCTCGTCGAACAATTACGTGAGTAAGCCGAAACACATAATAATTAATTTAGTACGCCTCAAGAAAGTTATAACACAGGTAGCAAATAATTTAGAAACGTCAGTATTCTATACGACTACGTATGTATCTATGCTATGTAGGTAGGTAAGTATAGTATAGTATAGGTAGGTGTTACATAACGTTGTAGTAGTGGCCACTATCAGTGGACTATTACTTGTTATCAATAGTTCCATACCATAAACTAATACAATGTTTCTTTAACCTCCGCCGATAATCTGGGAGTTAGATAACTTGCATACATTTAATACTTATAAATAGCAGAAACTATTTAAATACTACCTACATCACATAATACGTTCAAGTTTTCTAGCTAAATTGTATTGTGTTAGTAAGAGTTGATTAGCATCGTCTACGTAAATTGATTTGAATTATATTTAATCTTAATACAATCTAGTGAAAGTCTCGCTATAATGGACTCTCTGAAGTGTAGAATAAGGCGGTGTTTCTTGAGGTGTTTAGAGAAAACAAGAAATAATATCCAACTGGAATATGGTGCCGGCAGAGAATTTTTAGCCTGTTATTAGGCATTACCAGCTAAATCCTGCTCTGTTTCCGCTTTGAATCTTCCAGTTGTAGTTTACAATGTAGGTAAATATTGAACAAAAATAAGTCAAAACTAGTTTCTAAATCACGCTATTTGTGCAGGCCTTGCGACATCAGCCGGCAGCTGCGAGTGTCACACGGCTGCGTCTCCAAGATCCTGGCCCGCTACCACGAGACCGGCTCCATCCTGCCAGGAGCCATCGGCGGCTCCAAGCCCAGGGTCACCACACCTAAGGTCAGTAACGTTTACGTCACACAGTACAACGAAACATATCACCTAGTCCTAGTTATCTACAACACTACACACAAAATGTGATCGTTAACACTGGCTAATATTAAAACGAAGAACACAATTTGTCAAAGGCAAGAAAGTAAATATTGTCCCAAACTAATACCAGTGGGGGAACATATAAAATTATGTTTTTCCAAAAACCCAATGCTGTCAAAAACAACAACAAAGGTTACATTTTTACCAGTTCTTAAGCATTCTTTGTTGGAGCAATGGCATCATCGTAGCATTTCGTTGGCAGGTGGTATCATACATAAAGCAACTCAAAGCGAAGGACCCTGGCATCTTCGCGTGGGAGATCAGGGACCGGCTGCTGGCGGACGGCGTGTGCGACAAGTACAACGTGCCGTCGGTGTCCAGCATCAGCCGCATCCTGCGCAACAAGCTCGGCGGCGGCGCGCTGTACCCCGTGCCGCCGCTCTACCCTGTGCCGCCGCAGCGCTGCTGGCCGCTGCACCAGCCCTACGACTACTACGTCTACTTACAGGTCAGCTGGTACTTAAGGATCTAGTCTTGGCCTAAGATACGACCTACCATTATCAATCAAAATAATGATTTAAATAAAGTTACACTAATAGACAACGCTGTCTACTTTATTACATAACTGATTTCATTCGATATCCCGCTGACGCTCTACTAAATCTGTGCCAATATGGTGACTTTAATTTAAATTTTTAAACTTCAGAGTCCTCATGTGGAGCACCACACTTGAGTAAGTGTAGCCTGAATAAAGTTGCAATTTTAATCAAATGACTCTATTTTGTCCTCAGGGTCGTCAGCACACAGCAGGCAACCCCCACGCACTGCCTCACCCCCATCAGCAGCCACCTCCGCCCCACCATGCGCACGCGCATGCCCTCTGACACGCGCGCCTCGCTACCAATCACGACCGGTGATTAACATAGCCGGTGATCACTAGATCACCACCAGTGACCAGTGATCACCCAGTGAAGTGAAGTGATACTATTAGTGATCGTGGTACTATTGAGTGACGGGAGTGACAGTTGACACTATTGCAGGGTACGTCACGACTGAGATTAGTAGAGTAAGATATACTTTATATCACTGTACTTGCGTACAGCACGCGTCATATGCAAGGGCCATGATTTTATGAAGTAACTGTATTTAATAAAGAAAATAAATTAGGAAAGCAAAATTTAATGAATTCGCCATATTACTCGAAATATAAAAATTGAAAATGTGATGATTTAGAAGATATTGTTATAATTTCAACTAAAAATCTAGAACTTTACAATAACGACTAGTTAGTCTTAACTACCTTTCAGAAATTCCTAGATGGACAAAAATTCTGATTTAGGTATTTAGTATCAAACTTATGTCTAAATTATATATTTATCAACATTACAGTCATTGAGTCTGGTAGTTCGTGTGTCCGACTGTGGTTGACTCCAGGGCCTGGTTCAAAGTACTGAGTGATATAAAAGTGACAAACTGATCTTGTAGTGATAAACATAGTTGTTGATAAAAAGTATTACCTATATTATTATTGTATATACGATACGTTATCACGTGTAAGATACATAGATTCTATTAAATATATGTTTACAAGGCGATTCATATCACAGTTTTGGTATAAAGAAAATTATGTAGTAGTACCTGTGCTGCCGCATAGATAATGTCTGGCGTAGCATTGCATACTTTCATATCGATATATGATTAAATAAGATTGTACTTTATTTTTATAACAAATTAATTTAAAGTAACTAAAATCGCGGGTTACTCACATGAATATATACTGAGAAAAGCTCTACTAGTTTCGAACCACAGAGGGGTTCTTCATGAGGAAGAACCCCTCGTTTAGAGTGCCCCTCACGTGAGTAACCCGTGATTTTAGTTAATTTAGTATGTCTCACGATATTTATTATAAAAAATTAATTTAATATAAAAGTACATACATATTGTACTATTTAGTATTTTTATTACTATTTTTTTGGCGAAAGTTGCGAGCCGTCGGTAGTTGGCCGTCGGACTAAAAATATTGAATTGATTCAGCAGCTTGAAGATGAAACTATCACAAATTATTTAGACAGCATATGTTATCTTCATTTACATAGCTAATTTACTAATGTTTTCTTAACAAAATGAACTTAAATTATAGTAGTTTAGAGTTTAGAATCGAGTTGTGATATGAACCGTCAAATAACTTGTAGATACTTAGAAGTAAGTTATGGTATCATTAAGTGAAGCGATGCGGATGTCCTCAACTATTTATGTATGGGTGCAATCATGTAAATATTTAATACGAATACCAGACATGTACTTACTTCCACAACCTATTAATATGACTTCTAATAATTAATTTTATTCATAAAATTATTCGTTGAACAGATTGTCTACTCGCACAAATAATAAAGATATTGTCAGTTAATAATATTTTGTGTTCAATTAATGATTTCTCTCTGTTTTATTGTCTAACTGGCGTGTCTCAATTTATGTGATAAGTAAATGGATGTTTTATTTATGAAACTGAACTAAAAATTGTGATACACTAACTGGGAGCCATATTTCTAATGTTATGTACGGAATCCTCTCAAATAAGTTTTCTCTAAATGTGAATGTGTAAATAATAAATCTCAATTAATTAAACAATTATATAAGTTATCTCTGAATTACTTCGGTAACTCTATCTACCTAGCTCTAGATACCTACTATAGTGTTGTTGGAGAAATATTGAGGTGTATTCTGAGGAAATCTGATACTCAAATCAGAAAATACAATATGTAGTAGGTGTCCGCTAAACATTAGTCGGTATTTGTAAAATCTGTACAAACTAGATGTTATCACCTAGATACTTGATATTATTTAAACACTAGCTTTATTGGTCACAGTATAGAAAATAAATTGGTTTGTTCATACATTAAGTTACTTTGTCTCATTTTACATGTTGGTCCTGTGTTCGTCGTGTTTGTGGTATGTGCGGCGGTTGTGGTGTGGGGCGGACGGCAGTAGAACACGAAATCAATATCAGCTCCGAATGTAATATACAAACAACCAAAAAGAAATTGTAGCGGAATTGGTGCGCGGCTCGTAATAAAAGTCCATTGATTAGGCCGCGCTCAACACCGGCCGCCGCCTCACAATGGCTCCACAAATAAATCCTCTATTTTCAGTAGCGCACTCTGATTTAATTACGCTGTACAACGTGATATTTCATTAAAAATTCAGTGGCTAATTGAATGGCGCGCACGCAGCGGCCGCGCGCCGCGCCGCACACGCTCGCGTCCCGAATCGACTTTACAACCGAAAACAATAAACGAACGGATATTGGTCGCGTACAAATATTCGTATAGCGGCCACTGGACACGAATTACCAATTAAATCCCTGCTTTGTTTCGAATTTAATACTACCTAATCCGAAAATTTTACTGTATTAATAACAAAATTTTATGATCGCGCTCGAAAATGCGCGGCAGCAAAAAATATGGCGACCGACGGTCGAGCTCGCTGTTAAAATGACATTTGACGCCGCTCGAGGGCCGCGCAGGCGCAGGCTCGCAGGGCTGGACTGCATCAAGAAACCTCCTGCCACGTTAATTATGAGGAGATTATTTCTAACCGAGCACTCTCACATGTAGGGACGGATCTCTACAACATGCGACACTGTCACACTTGTTTGAAGGTTAGAACTTCTAAATAATAAATTGACGATGACAATACAAAATGTATTGATACCGGTCCTGACATAATTTCAAGGCACAGTAAAATTGTGATTTGTAGTTCTCCGTACACATCAAATCTATGAATTGGGTTTTCCTAATTAATAAAATGAAAGACTTATGTCAGGAAGTGATAACACAAAGATACGATCCATTCAGATAAATGTGAAGAAATGTGTTGAAATCGATATTTGATAAGACCTTCTCGATATTCATTCATGGTTATATGTACGGCACGGACCTGTCTGAGATTCATTATACACTTAGAAAGAATATGTCTGATTAACTGTATTAACTGATTAGTAAGTAAAGTACAGAAAGGTTTTGATTCCTAACAGGATATGAAATATTCAGTATCATCAGTATTCATATATAATATTTTTTATGAAATTCCTGATTCTTAAAAGAATATGCTTAAGTTGTCAACCCTACGTGTGCCGCAGGGCTGCGTGATGAGAGGGGCAGGACATAATTAAAAAGTGCAGCAAACGGCTCGCGGCAGCTTTGTGTTGCGCGCGCGCAGAATTTGTGTGAGCTTTATGGTAATATACCTGCATATACCTATGTAATATGCGTATGTCAATATGTGGGTAAATGGCGAACTGTGGTTGATTCCCACAGTCAAACAATAATTACAGAACTTTACATAATTACGTGCTCATTTTATTCAACAGACGTAAAGTTTCGATTCCAAGTTTTTAAATCGCCCATAAGATTAATCATGGTAGATGTCCCACTCACACGCACGAATACTGCACCTTGTACGTACGTAAGGAATGGGATTCATTGTCAGAGTCTCTGTTTCTTGAACGGTATAGCCTGGGTGTCTTCAGGCCCGAGTGAACAGGTTGTTTATGGGACGACGTGCTGCATCGTAGGCCACATCATCGCTTACCACCAGGTGAGACATAGACGTAGGCCCATGAGGCCATGAAACATTTACAAAAAAGATAAGGATTAAAATCGTTTCTTCACAATCGGACATATGTCTACGTAAAATTACAACGTCTGTTAATCTAACAGAAACTTAACAAGTTAAACTAAGCTTAAACTGTCAAACACCGCGAGGACACCGGTGACCACAACCTATTGTTCTTTAATTGTGTCTATAATTACGGTACTCAACGAGTTAAGGCATGCTTCCTCTGCAAGAGTTCTAGAGTTTTTTTTTTAAGGGGGGAAAATCATCGAATGACTGCTCCCACCTTAGTGTCAGACTCTTACTGACTAAAAACCACCCCGTTCCTTCTCCTGCACGTCGAGCCGGAGCCCCGGTTACCCGTTAGGTTCTCCGCGACGAGTTCTAGAGTTACCTACAAACTGTAAAAGTGTGCGGTAAGGCGAGTAAAGCTACTTATGATGTTCTAAGGGAGGGGTATACAGAAACCACAGAGTCAAATCGCTGAGTCACAGGTTCGATTCCTGCAAAGAAGCATATATCCTGTGCGACTTAAAAAAGTAGCTTCTGTAACCCAAGACTATGTTTTACTTTCGTGCGTACGACAGTTTAATCAAAATTACAACACTAAACATTATGAATTAAATGGGAAATGAAAGATCAGATAACTAATTATTTAGATATCGGCAATTCCAGACTAAATCGTTTAAAAATATATTAGTAGTCATAAATGTAGATGACATGATACAGTAATCTGATTGTGATCAAGGTGATTATGTCAGCGTTATCACAATTAATCATATGGACTGATAAGAGGCCTACCCCAACTAGATAGTGCGGCGTGATGGACACATTACTTGGAGAACCCAGGTAACTGCACACTGAATTTGAGCGGCACGAATTATCAATCGTTGTAGTATGTTTAAGGACTTTCGTGTTAATCTACATACATACATACACTTCACGCTTGTATTAAAATTTCATGGGGGTAGGCAGAGACTATAGAACGCAATAAAAAAAAGCAGTTAGGCTATTCAGTAAGGCTCTAAACAGACGAACCGCATTGCAGTTCCAGTAGACACAGTACAGTACAGTCGTGTCAACTGCATTCAAACTGCATCCGAACTGCAATTTGCAGTTGGATTGCAGTTGAAATGTGGTCCGTCTGTGAAGAGCCTAAGATGAATTCGTAATCTCGAAGTGAGCTCGATCGTATTGTCGCCCGTCATTGATCGAGATTGTTTTCACAACCAATGCCTTGGTGGACCGCGATCGACAATGCGAATTG